CAGCCGGCCCGGCCTTGGCTCACACAGCGGTCGGGCCGCGGCCCCGGCTCCCCGGACGGCGCAGGCCCCGCGCGGCCCCGGCTCCCCGGGCTGCCCTACCCTCCCAAGCCCCCAGCCGTTACCGGAGGCTTGGACGCGAAGCCGGGCGGCAGGAGCTGCGCAGGCAGTGACTCAGGGCGGCGGCAGCGGGAGGAGCGGGAGGCGGCGCCGCGAACAGATGGCGCTAAAAAAGACCCGAGAGCCCGCCGCTCGCGCTCATATACAATTAGCGTCAGCACGTAGGGCCGCTCCACCGCCCTCCCCCTGGCCTCGGTGTCGCCTAGCAACGCGAGCGGGAGGCGGGCCCCCGGACCGGGTTGCCTCAGTAACAGAGCCGTCCTTCTTCCCTGGCGCTCCACAGCCGCTGGAGGGCCCTTTCCCCCAGTGCGGCTCTCAGGCTCCTCGGCTTCCCGCCACTGTCTGTCCTCTCCTTTGGCGCACCCCGCCATCTCTTCCCGCTGCGCCGCGATGGAAACCCCAACCCCTCCACTTCGACCCGCACTCTCCGCCCCGGGCCCACTTCACCCCCGCGGCGGAGACGGAAACATCAGCCTGGTCGCAGGCTTGCAGGGCTCTGGCCTCTAGCCTTTCTGGATTCCTGTCGGTGACCGGGTTAATTCTTGTAACTAACTGTCCCTCTCCCCTCCAGCGAGACCATTTTCCCTCCGGGGCTGAGAACAACAGCTCGGGGCATCCTCTGCAGGTTTTGCTTCTAAATCAAGGGCCCTGCACCGCCTTCTAGGGCGTTCCACATTCTGTTTACCTGATGTGCACTCCTTCATTTCTGCTTCAGTTTATTTGATGGAAGGAAAAAAAAAGCGTGTTTTGTGTAGTCTCAGGACAATTTATAATGAAGATAACTAGTAGATCAGTTTTTGCATCCTTCTGAAAAAGTAAATCCTACTGACAATATGTGAAGCCTTATGGCTATTTTTAGATTGATTCTGGATCGCCTGCTGTTTGTTTTGTTTTGAGGTAGGGTCTCACTGGGCTACACTGTGTAGTCTGGTCTAGCATTGAATTTAAAATCTTCCTGAGTGTGATTGTGTAACGAAATCTCTAAGTCCCTGACAGTTCTCAAGGTACTCTGACTGGCCGCGGACCCTTAAAAGTGAAGGTCAAATACGTTTCTATAACACCAGCACACTTGCCTACATTTTACATTCTCATTCTCCCACAAGCCTACAGTGTAGTTTTCCGGACACTAGATGTCATGTGATGGGAAACACTGAAAATAGAAGCAGACAGGAGAATCTGGTTATCTGTTGTGATCAGGCATGAAAGAGCTTTTGCAAAAAGTAGGGTTTTTTGGGTTTTTTTTTTTTCGTATAAAAGTCTGCTTAATATTTTGCTTTTAGTGAAAGGATACTCCTAAGATTTATCTGTGGTGGATACAAAGTAATTATCAGTATCTGTAGTGGACACAAAGGTTTTTGAGGGGAAGTGGAATGTGGTCTCCCACACCAAAAATGCAACTCTCGGGACATTTGAAATCCTAGTTCAGCCTGGTTGTATAGTGAGACCCTGTCTCAAAGCTAAACAAGGTTCTTTGGAATCTTTTTTTTTTTTTTTTTTTTTTTTTTATTGTGTAAAATTCTGGCACTTTTATAATTTTTTTTTTTTTTTTTTTTTTTTTTTTAAGTGTGAAAAGTCCTGAGACTTCTAAATATTTCATTCCTTAAATCTTCAAACTAGTCTTCGATTGGAATCTTCACTTATAGCAATCAACGTTTCCATTTTAGAGGACCCCATCAAAAAAAATCTTACGATATTTATTTGTGTGTGTGTGTGTGTATGTGTGTGTGTGCGCGCGTATTCGAGATTATACATGTACTATGAAGTACACATAGCAGTCAGAGGACAACTTGTGGGAATCAGTTTTTTCCTTCCACCCTGTGGGATCTGGGGACTCAACTAAAGTCATCAGGCTTGATGGTAAGTGCCTTTACACACTGAGCCATCTCTTGGGATTAATTTTTTTTTTCATTCTCTAATTTCATTGAAATTAGCTTTTTTTCCCCCACTCTGTATATATGCTTGCATTTGCTTAGGTACTTCCTATGTGATTTATCTATTCTCAACACCCTTCTTTCTTCATAAGCACACTTTTCAACATTGATGTTGTTATGTAGGTTAGTGTATTGATGGCTTGCCTTGAACTGACAGCAGTTCTCCTGCCTCAGTCTCCTAAGTGCTGCACCACTACTCCAGCTCCTGTACAGGACATGAAGTCTTTGCCATTTAAGTATAAGAAGACCAATCATTTGTACATTCATTCAACAAATATTTATTCTTCACAACAAATATATTGGCCACAACTTGAGATACTAGAAATACAGCATTGAACAAGAAAAACAAGGTTCTGAATTTTATTAAACTTGTGTTCCAATGAGGAGGAACAAGTGCTAAAAATAACGAAATCACATTTGATGCTGATAAATGAAAGCATTATAAGGAAAATAAAATGCAGCAAAAAACAATGAATGAAATTCTTAATGAATAAAAAAAAAGAGAATGCAAAACAAGAATAAAAGATGACTTACATGAGTATACCCCTGAACTTTTTATATTGATCCCTCTTAGACCCCAAAGTCACAAAATGCAGTTACCCCTCTTTAGTCACAATGAATGCTGGCACTGGGCCATGCCAAACTTCCAGTTAAAGCTCCTTTTTCCTCCCTCACTCCCCATAATTTTCACTTGGTAGATTTTTGTAGCACTGACGCCTAGAGATTTAGAAGCATAGCTTTGGAGTCAAGCATCAAGATTTTGTCCTATTCTACTCAATCTCTGTATGACTTGGGGAAATAGCTTCCTAGATTTCAGTTTCCAAGTCTCTAAAATAAGGATGATAAACATACATTCCTCATAAAGTCATTCTGAAATTTCAAATAACATATGTAAGGTGGTTAATGTGGCAAACACCCAGCCATCATCAGCTTCTTTTTGAGATTTTGCTTTTATTTTATTTAAAGAAGAAACTCCTCTGCAGTTTTCGGATAGTATCCGACAATATTTTAATAAATACGATCTAGGTAAGCTGGAGACCTGGCTCAGCAGTTAAGAACACTTACTGCTCTGTCAGAGGGCCAAAGTTCAGATCCCAGCACCCACACTGGGTAGTTCACAAATGCTGTAACTCCAGCTCCAAGGAAGCCAATGCTGCCCTACCTTCTAACTTCTGTGGGCACCTGCACACACATGTACACACACATACACACACACACACACACACACACACAAAACACAAATCTTTATATCTAGGCTTTTGAAGGGGTTGTTTCCTTGATTTTGGTTGTTGTTTTGTCTTTACCGTTCAGAGGATCAAACCCGGTGATTCCCATATGCTAGGCAAATACTCTGCCACTGGGGAACACTCTTAGCCCTAGTCTAGTCACAAAAAAAAAAAATGTTTTCCTGAGCTGAAATACTCTATGCCAAGTACCACAGAAACATTACATATATTCAATGATCTAAGTGTTGGAGGCAGGCAGAGATCAACCAGACAGGCTGAGAGTACCTTCCATACTTATGTGTATATTCCAGACCCTAAGTAGTAGGGCAAAGCTTTAAAAGTAAGAGGCCAGGCACGGTGATACACTGCTATAATTTCAGTACTCTGGAGGCTAAGGCATGAAGATTGAAAGTTTGAGGCCACCCTGAGCCATATAATAAGACTCTATCTCAAAAAGCAAACAGGGAGGCCAATGAGATGACTCTGTGGGTAAAGGTGCTTGCTGCCAAGCCTGGCAACCTGAGTTCAATCCCTAGGATCCACATGGTAGAAGCAGAGAACTGACTCTTGAAAATTGTCCTCTGGCCACACGTGTGCCATGGCACAAGCATTTGCATACAGACAGACACACACGCAACATACATACATACATACACACACAAATACGTTTTTTGATGTAAAAAAATTAAAAATAATAACAAAATAAAATTTAAAAGTGCACAGACCAAAGCATGATGGCATACATTGTAATCCACACTTGGCAGGTAGAGGCAAGAGTATCAAGGTCCTCCTCCACTATATAGCTAGTTCGAGGCCAGCCTGAGTCACATGAGATTCTGTCTTTAAAACAACCAAACTGGGTGTAGTGACACAGGCCTTTAATCCCAGCACTAAGAGGCAGAGGCGGATAGATCTCTGTAAAATTGAGGTCAGCCTGGTCTCCATAGAGAGTTTCAGGCTTGCTGTGGCTACAGGGAGACTCTGTTTCAAAAAAGGACCAAAACAAACAAACAGGGCCAATGAGATGGCTCAGCTGATAAAAGTATTTGCTATGATAGCCTGATGACTTGAATTGAATCCCTATAACCCACAGTGGAATAAGATAACCAACCTCCTGGGACTGCCATATGCATGGCATGTGCATGCTGACACAATCACACACATACACAAACAGTGGTGGTAGTAGTAATAGTAGTAGTAGTAGTAGTAGTAGTAGTAGTAGTAGTAATAAATTTTAAACAGAGGAAAAAAGCAAACAATATATAATACACATGTTTTATATATATATATATATATAATCAGACAGATATGTTTTCCCATATCCTGTGACCTACAAAAGTACTTATCCATTCTGACCTTCAGAAACATTAATAATACTAATAAGCTAAACCTCTTCATTAGCATGAACTAGGATGGACATAAATGAAAACAAGAAATCACAGTACTTTATATAAATAATCTATTTTTGAAGACAAATATATCAACTTTCTCATTGACTCTGTGAGACAAATTTCACAGTCTGTACAAGATTTTGGATGTGGTTTGGAAATTGGTTACTTGTTGGGATTGTTTTCTCTCATCTGTGAAGCATCCGGATAGTAAAAACTAAGCGTTAGGGATATAACTCAGTGGAGTATGTGCTTCATAGGTAAGAAAATGGATATGTTTGAAATCATAATAAAGAAAACAAGACACATGATATAATTTGGAGACAAAATATCCATCATTGAGAGAATTGATAGGGAACTGTAGTGGATGTGCATCATGGAATATTATATGATAGACCATTTAATATAACATGATAAAACTGTACTGATAGATACTTAACACACAGTACTTGGAAAACTACAGTGGGATACAATTCCATACCTTTTAGAATTGCTCAAATTGAAATAAAAAATAAATAATGGTACAAAATGCTACAGTGATGTGAAACAACAGGAACTATAATTCACTGTAGGTAGGATTGCAAACTAGTACAGTGACTTCAGAAGATGATTTTACAGTTTCTGACAAAATTTAACATACATTTACCATATGAGTAAATAATTTTACACCTAGGTAATTAGAAACCAAGTGAATTGAAAACTTACACACACACACACATACACACACACACACACACACACACACACACACACACCTAAACACTGGTAGAATATGCATTCGAATTTGTCTAGCCCTGGGCTCAATTATAGCACTGGAAAGAAAAGAGGGGGAAACTGCCTGTGAATGTTTTATTCCTAGTTGCCCATACTAGGAAATAACCAAGATACCTTTCCACAGGTGAATGGACTAAACAGTCATGCATCCATAGGATTTGAATGCTAGTCAATTAAAGGAAGGAAATACTGTTTCACTGAACAACATAGTTTAATATCAAATGCATTTTTGTTAAGTGTAAGAAGTCACACTGAAAAGCTTACTTGTTATAATTCCATTTATATATGTAAAAGGCAAAAGTGGCATTGAAAATATCAATGCCAAAACCAGGAGTTGAGGGTGAA